AGAAGGCATCAAGAAGGGGACCAAGAGCAAATTGGAAATATTCAAACTTGAAGATGAGGAGTTCTTGAATTACCTAAATCAACATGTGATAATTCTTCTTTTTGGTTTTGTTGAAGTTATCCAAATCATGAGTTTATTGGTGAATTATTGATTCTAATTCTTGGTTATTGACTATCTGCTTAATTATTTTTCGTGAATACTAAATAATGTACACCACCTAATTTATAGCCGACATCTAACTAGCAAGAGAGTTCAAAAACTTGTCTACAAAAGTTGACAAAGACACGACGAATCTGTATAATTTATTGGAGTTCATGATTTATAACATCAACAATGAGTAATATTTGACGCTCGAAATGTTACACGTCCAACACACGTATGCACCAACTAGTTTAAAAAAATGAGACAAACATCAAACCCAAAATGAAAGGTACCTTAATAATTTTTTACGGGCCCCGGTTCAGACTAGATTCAGATTACAGATGCAGACCATGCCCAGATTATAAATACAGATCAGGCTCAATCTTACAAATGGAATAACAAAAACTCGATCATAATTGGTATGTGGCCAAACCCACTTTCTTAAAAGGCTCAGTCTATCATCAACTAGGCCTAGCTATCGTGTCGTGTGAAACGATTTTATGTCGGGTGAAACGGGGTTATGTTAAAAAATTCTTCATCCATATCTCATTCGTTTATATAAACGAGTCAAACTATCACACTCATATACAAATCATTTATTAGACGAATTAGTCGATACAACCTGTGTGTCATCTACTAAATAAGAGAATATGTTATAGTAATTCGAGTTCACACGAAAAATCATCAACTCGCCACACATTACACATGTTTGACCTGTTTACTATAACAATAAACCATGACTGAGCAAAAAAATAAAGACAAAAAATAAACATTAAATGATCACTAATTTTAATGATTCTGAGAAATGAGAGGTGTGAGATGAGGTGGAGATTAAGAGATATAATTTTTTTTAAAAAATGATTATAATACTACTGTTAATGAGTTTGTGGGTTAAACACAAAATCAGTTCGTTTATTTCACAAGTGCCGAGTTAATTCGTTAATCACCAAAACTCGTTAAAATTACATTTATACCCACTAAATCTGTGTCAAGTTCGTGTCGATTTCACAAGTGGTGCCTACAATTGTCAGACCTATCATCAACGCATGAGAGAGTCTCAAGAAGAAATCATTAGGCACACAGTCATCAAGCGCATATTGCCAGCCCACAAGATTATCTTGTCCGTTACAAGATAGACCAAGCTTTAGGGGATCACTCCTCTATCACGTCGCCTGTTACAAGGATGAGGCAAGATTTATGGCATCACCTTGCTCCTTATGAGGATAATGCCTCAATCAAAGCCCTTTTGGGAGCCAACTCCACTTGCCTATAAATTATAAACCCCACCTAGACATGGGTGTATCACACACTTCTCAGTACACTATACCTCTCAATTAATAAGATTCTCTAGTTACTGTCGCAATTCCCAGTGGAATAGGTTACCCAAACTGAACCACATAATCTTTGTATTTTCTTATGTTGAGCTCTCTTTACTTCATCCTTGATTGATTTTGCATAAAATCACTTTTGTACATCATCAATTTTAATTATTAAATGACTTGAGTCTTTATACTTTTTCTTTTTTTTAGCATTACTTTACTATTGACTTTCCACATAACAAAACACCATTCTACCAAATTTCCACCACTTTTTTTTACTATATCGATTATATCATTTTATTTCTCTCAAGATTTTATACTTTGGTTTTGAAGGAGGAAGGGATAAGGTTTTAACTCACATTTTTTTAAGGACAACATTGAGTCTTTACCACCAAGCTACTCTCTCATCTCCTTCTCAAGATTTTGTAAACCAAGAACTCAAGCTATCAGTCATTGCTAAAATGACAAAACTTAGATTTTTTTTTTCTTTGGAACTTTTTTCTGTTTTATTTCAAGCTTTTATACGTCTGAATATAAAAGAAAACACAATACAAAAGTTAAACTCCAAACAAAAAGTTCATTGATAATCCTAACTATTAAATGGCTTTTTAATATTTTTAGTTCTATTTATTTTGATACATGAGAAAATGCAAGTATCAGAGATGAATGAAGAGTTTTTATATATGATAAATTTTTTTTAATTATGAATAATTCTATATTTTCAACAAATCTGAGATCATGTGACTTGTACATGATTCAAAGTTAATTACTGTTAGACCAAAAACAGTTTTTTAGTATAAAAAATAGAGTTTTTGGTCAACTTTGAACCTAAATTAAAGTGGGACCTATTAGTTATTTCGAATAAATTTTTGTAGGTTCATATTCTACTCCGTGAAGAGTATAACGTGGAATATTCACTTGCTCAAATCAAGTAAGAAATGAATGAGAAAATAGGCTCCAAAATGACTCTCTTGAAGAGTGAAAATAGAAGATGTACAATGTGGGGTTTGATACCAATCCCACATTGGTTGAGTAAGAAATTCAACATGGGCATATATAGCTCAAGTTTGCTCTATGGGTTGGGCCCCAAAGGGTTGCACAATTTTATGAGCAGAGCGAGCACCTACATGCCGTTGAGTTTACCACACACATGCGCCACCCACCCGACCGGGCTCAAGTACGGGTACGGGTGTGCTTTAGACCAAATCCTATTTTTTTTTTGGAGAAAATTCATTTAATTAATTGGGCATGAATTTCTTAACCTGAAATTAATTTCGGTAGTTGCTCCAGTCCGAACCCGTTGGATAGTTCGAATTTGCTCTAGTCCAAAATTTTCAAGATGTGACAAGAAGAGTTATTCAAGGTGTCTACTGGCTGGATCAGTTTTAGTTTATGGATTGTGTCCTTTAGTAAGGTGACTGTCAAGAAAGTCACCAATGCATCTATAAATACCCAGGTCATGCATTCGTTTTATTCATTCAGATAACCAGATTGTTTTCGACATTAAGTGTATTACATTTCGACATTTTAAGGTAATACATTTGGAGAGTACACGACACAAATTTTGGTTCACTGTACGAATAGATTGAAGTGTTATTTCTGTTCGTGGAAGATTATTGTATCATGAGAGGCAGACGCTCGGATTCCATAAACACTGTGTGTGGGGGCGAAATCTGTCTTAAGGACATAGTGTCAAACACTAGTCTTGATCTATTATGAGTTCAATAACAGTTCTTGTTCTGTAACCGAGTTAGTTTTTACATTAATTTGACATAGAGTTACATGTATCTGTTTACTGTAACTCTTTCGTGTTTTCTGTAACTGTTTTGATTTGTGTTACGGTTCTACAGTTCATATTTATTGTTTGTTTTATTTTAAGTTACATGATATCAGAAATATAAATAAGTGGTTTTACGATTTTTGAACACTACAAACAACAATTACTTGGGTTAATTAAAACATATTCAAACTTTGAGAAGACAATTTGTTGAAATTAAAACTAGAAGGAGTTGATTGTAACATCATTCAAAGTTAAAAGAGATATTTTGTAACTAAAAGATTATTGGGATTTACTTATCTTATTTGTTCGTGTATTGTAACTATTACATTAAATATTTATCCATTACTTTAGTACCGATAGGGGTATTAATCAAGCTAAATTCAAGTCTAATAGTTTAACTATTTACACATAAACGAACAGACTTGTTTGACTATTTACACATTAATGAGCTTAAAAAAATGTTTAAACTTGACTTGATTAACAGCCCTAAGTACCGAGGATCCCAATAACGAAACACAGTTCCAACAAATTTTAGGAGTTGTTTGATAGTTGAAACTGATCTTTGGTAATTCAAAAGTTTCAAGTTCAATTCTTTTTTCACTCTCTAAGTCTAGTCATCCTTGTTATTTAGAAATATATTCTAACTCAATTCAAATCAAAATGATCAATCGGAGAGCTTAAGAGAGGATTTGACACTAATGTGGACACCTTAAAAAAAAAAAAAACAAATCTCAACTTATATCCCAAAAGATTACTCAAATCTTAATTTATACCCTTAAAGTTTAAAAATATCACTTTACACCCTCAAAAATATAAATTCGTATCAATGTGTACATGAGACTAACTCTGTCCATTTTTCTGTTAAAAATGTTTGAGTTAATTATAAATTATACACTCCAAGTTTAAATATATTATATTAATGATCCAAAAAGAATTTCATCCATTAATGTTCGTTAAATAACTCTCAATCAGTGTCATGTTCGAGTCAATAAAAAATATTTTTCAAAATTTAAAGAAATTATAGAATACATATTTTTTGCCTATAATACTCGTTAAATAACTATTTTTTGTCTTTCGGTTGTCCATTAGACACAATCTTTTAATTGTCCGATCAAATTAAAATTATATAAGAATAACACAACTGTAGACAAAAAATAGTTATTTAACAACTATTATAGACAAAAAATTGATATTTTTTAATTTTGTAAAAATATTAAATAATATTATATAAATTGTCGTAAATGTGAAATATAAGACACAACAAAATTGACTCGATGTGAAATATTTTTTTATTGACTCGAACAAAATACGAAAATGTTATGATACGATACAATTGAGAGCTATTTAATGAGAATTAATAAATGAGATTCTTTTTGGATGATATAGATGTGAAATATTTAAATTTTGAAGGGTGCAATTTATATTTAATTCAAATTTTTTTAACGACAAAATAGATGATAGTTAATCTTAGATGTATATTAATACATATTTATATTTTTTCGGATATAAATTAATATTTTTAAATTTTAAAAATACAAATTAAAATTTCAACGAACAAGTTGAAATTAGCCCAAAAAAAAAACACAATTTCAACTTTCCCGTTTTTCCACGTCTCCACCGCAATAGCGTCTCTCTCCTACACCGATGTTCAAGTACTTTACCGGATCCCATTTGCCCAGATCTACCAAACTGTCCAAACCCCTCTAATATCTATCCTTTTGACCACACCCACTCAAACAAATCTTGACTGTCCATTGTCCCCTTTAAAATCTATTTATATGCCTTCCTCTCCTCTACCCCTTCTTGCCCACAACCCACTCTCTTCTACACCCAAGAAGAGAGAAAGAGAGTGTTCAGATCTAAGTAGAACTACACCCCCTCTAGGGAGAGAAAACTAAGCAAGCAAAATGGCTTTGCTGGTTGAGAAAACCACTACCGGCCGGGAGTATAAGGTGAAAGACATGTCCCAGGCAGACTTCGGTCGGCTCGAAATCGAGTTGGCTGAAATCGAAATGCCCGGGCTTATGTCGTGTCGGGCAGAGTTTGGCCCGACACAGCCCTTTAAGGGAGCTAAAATCACTGGCTCCCTCCATATGACCATCCAGACCGCGGTCCTCATCGAGACCTTAACGGCCTTGGGGGCGGAGGTCAGATGGTGCTCATGTAATATTTTCTCCACCCAAGACCACGCTGCCTCGGCAATTGCTCGTGACAGCGCTGCTGTGTTCGCCTGGAAGGGCGAAACACTCCAGGAGTACTGGTGGTGCACTGAGCGGGCCCTCGACTGGGGACCCGACGGTGGGCCAGATCTCATCGTCGATGACGGTGGTGATGCTACCTTGTTGATCCACGAGGGGGTCAAAGCCGAGGAGGAATTTGCAAAAACGGGTAAGGTACCAGACCCGAATTCTACTGATAATGCAGAGTTTCAGATTGTTTTGACCATAATTAAGGATGGTTTGAAGACGGATCCAAAGAGGTATCACAAGATGAAGGAGAGATTGGTTGGAGTTTCAGAGGAGACCACAACTGGTGTTAAGAGATTGTACCAGATGCAGGCTAATGGCACATTGTTGTTCCCTGCCATTAATGTCAATGACTCTGTCACCAAGAGCAAGGTATGTATATATTTATATGTTTATGTTTCTGCTTATATTTGTTCCTTTTGGATTAGATCTGGGTTTTAGACAAATTTATTTTTTGTGTATTTTGGGCTAATCTTGATTTGTACACTGATTCTGTTTATGTTCATTGTTGTTAGGTCTGGGTTTTTGCACTAATTTGGGTTAGATCTGGTTTTTTCCACTAATTTTAGTGTGTTCATTTTGGGTTTGATCCGGTATTTTGAGTAATTTTTTTTGTTAATTTTGGATTAGATCTGGGGTTTTACACCATTGGTGGTTTTACACCATTTGTTTTCGCTTGGTAATGTTTGATATGTTTAAGATATTATAGGAATTGCAACTATAATTACCAAATTTGGTCCTTCAAACTGAGGGTGCTTGGTTTTTGGGAGGGGTGGACTGAGGAAAAATCTGAACTTTAGCACAGGAAATGCTAATTTTTTTTATGTGATCTGTCTGTAGTTGTAGCATTAGATATTTTCCAAGTTTTGAACAAAATTGTAAATTTTATTTGATGTGTTAGTTTACTAGTGAAAGCGCAAACAAAGGATCCATTCTGATTTTGATGCTATATAGTTGTTAAATTTCACAATAGCTCATAGATCTTGGTTGGCTTCTCGTATAGTTGGAGGCATGCTGGGTTCATTTTTGTTAGATCTGGGTTGTGTGCACTAATTCACATTAATTCATAAGTCATGGTTGGCTTCTAACAATTTTCTCTGATCTTGGTGCATACCAGTTTGATAACTTGTATGGATGCCGCCATTCACTTCCTGATGGCCTGATGAGAGCCACTGATGTGATGATTGCCGGCAAGGTTGCTGTTGTTGCCGGTTATGGAGATGTGGGCAAGGGATGTGCAGCTGCCATGAAGCAAGCCGGAGCACGTGTAATCGTGACTGAGATTGATCCCATCTGTGCTCTTCAAGCTCTCATGGAAGGCCTCCAAGTTCTCCGCCTTGAAGACGTCGTCTCAGAAGCTGATATCTTTGTAACCACCACTGGTAACAAGAACATAATCATGGTTGACCACATGAGAAAGATGAAGAACAATGCCATTGTTTGCAACATTGGTCATTTTGATAATGAAATCGATATGCACGGTCTTGAGACATACCCTGGTGTTAAGCGCATCACGATAAAGCCCCAAACGGATAGGTGGGTGTTCCCGGATACCAATTCAGGCATCATTATCTTGGCCGAGGGGCGACTTATGAATTTGGGTTGTGCCACAGGGCACCCGAGCTTTGTCATGTCCTGCTCCTTCACTAACCAAGTGATTGCTCAGCTTGAGCTTTGGAAGGAGAAGGCAACCGGGAAGTACGAGAAGAAGGTTTATGTTTTGCCCAAGCACCTCGACGAGAAGGTCGCAGCGCTTCATCTCGGAAAGCTTGGTGCTAAGCTTACCAAGCTCTCCAAGGAACAGGCTGATTACATTAGTGTACCAGTTGAAGGTCCTTACAAGCCTCCTCGCTACAGGTACTGAGGAAAGAGTGTTTGAAACTGAGAAAACAAGACATTTGAAGTGCGTGATGGTACCTCTGTTGTGTTTTGAATTGTGTTAAGATTAGTACTCATGCTTTTTCTGGAGGTTGTTAGGTGGGAAAGATTGGTCTGTGTTGTATTGTACAAGACCAAAGGGGGTTGAATAAGGTGGAGTATGGGGCTGTGTTGGATAACGTTTTAACTGGTTTTAATTAGAGTTTACTGCATTTGGATGGTGTGATTTTATGGGCAAAAATTAGACAAGAGGGAATATATATGTTGTTTTCAGTTACTTTCTTTTGGCTGTTGGTGGCTTCCAATTTGCTTTGGCTTCTTTCAAGAAAACATTTTTGCTTGTTGATTCATAACATAATTTATTTGTGTGTGCATTTCATTTCTTTGCTCTGGCCACTGCACTGCACTGATTGATAATTGATGTCGAGGATTCATGGCAACATCAGGTTTATTAAAGAAATATCATTGATACTTGTATACAAAGATGGTCTAGAGTAATAAAAAAAAATTGCTAATCATGAATAAATTTATATTCATATCCAAAATAAATTCACAAATAGAGGAGAAAGAAAAAAAATTTAAGAATTGGTTATAATGGTGGTGGGCGATAATAATAGTGGTGGGAGACGGTGATGGTTGTGTTAGGCGGTGACGACTGTGGTAGTCGTGAGTGGTAACGGTGATGATTTTGGTAACAATGGTGATAGTGATAGTTATGAATGGCGATGATCGTGGTGGGTTATGGTGGTGGTTTTTGGTGACAATGGCAGTAGTGACAGTTATGAGTGACGATGGTGGGTGGTGGTTGTGGACGACGACGATGGTGGTAGGTATGGTGAGGGTGCGTGATAGTGGGGGGTGGGGGGGGGGGGTTGTCATGGGCGATGATCGGTGATAGTGGTTGGGTGGTAAGAGGTGACAGTGGTCGATGGTGGTGGTGAGATGATGGTGGAAAAAGTAATAAATATAAGAATGAGATGATGATGATAGGTGGTGGTGACGGTAGGCGACAGTGGTTAAAATCAGTGGCGGGTGACAACGATGGTTGTGGTGGTGGATGGTTGTGATGGCGATGGTGGTGGATTGTGGCAAAGGTGTTGGTGAGGTGACAACAATGACAGTGGTAGTGGTAGTGGTGATGATGGAGGTGGCAGCGGCAACGATAGTGGTGATAAGGGTGGTGGGACAGTGGTGGTAATGGTGGTGGTGGTGTGACAGCGGCGATGGCGGTGGTGGTGGTGGTGAAGTGTTTTGTAGAGAATTAATTTAAAAAAAATAGTAATTATTATTATTATTATTATTATTTTTGCTTATTTATTTAAGTAGTAAAATTACTTTTGACTTATTTGAAAGTAATTAAAATAAATTGTTCAAACACTATTTTTTTTTTTTGTGAGTACTAGAAGTATTTTTGAAAAGTCAATCCAAACACACAATTAGAGAGACTATTTTTTTCATTAAATTTGAGGAGTTAATACTAGCTATTGAATTAACTTTAAAGTAAAATTTAAAACGATTTTAACTATAAAAACAAAAAATATTTTGTTTAGTTTTGCTATTTAAATTGTCTTTTATTTTATTATATAAATATATTAGTCATAACTTGTGTCTTAAGGCACAATAAAATATAAGATTCTAACATTCAAAAAATTGATTCAACTATACCAAATTTAAAATTAATTTCTTTGTTTACACCATTTTAAAATTAATTTCTACCTATTATTTTCTTAAAAATAGCATCAAAATTTTCTCAAAATGCATAACTAAACATTTTTTTTTCAACATGTGTACATTATCATGTATGAATAATGTATAAAATAAAAGTTGTGTTAAACTACAAATTAACTAAAATATTAAATGATTGAACATATGATAAAATTGAGTGATGTGCTTTTTTTTGGAAAAAAAATGTATAGGGGATAAAGATTTAACATGCTAACTGATATCCCGTGACTAAAATCATTGTACATTGAACTATGATAATTTGTGTATATAATGAATGTGTGTATGTGTGCGCAACTTTGTGTGTATTGGGTTTGTAAAATTTGCAAGAGAAAGTGTTTGTTGAGTGTGTAAAATTTAGAGGGGAAAATATATCTCTTATAAGTTCAAAAATCTAGCTATCTTATTATAAATTTATAAATACATGTGCAACACCACCACTCAATCTGCGCCCCTCCCTACCCACCACTACCACTATAAATCACCATCGCATTGCGCATAACCACACCACCGCTGCCACTACCACTTGGGGTGACGTAATTATTTCTATGATATAGGGGGTGAAGTATTAGAAGACCAAAATATAGGAGGGTTATGTGTCCATAGGAAATAACAAGGGCTAACTCATGCTTCAAGGTACAATACAAGTGTATTAGTTTTAAGAAGAATAGTGGTGAATGTTGGATGAATCTATTTAAAATCGTCAGATGAGCTTATTGAAGCCTGTCCTCCTGTTTTATATTATAGACTAACAATAACTTCATACTTGACAATATGTTCTAATATCAAAAATAAAAAATTAGTAAATACAATATTTGAAATATATATTTTTTTCTCTATAATCACATAATTTAAAATTAATTGGACAAAACTAAAATAAGACATTTGTATGGGATCGAGAAGAAAGTTATAGGTGTGAATTAGGAAGGTTGTCTAACATTGGGGATATGCAATGAAAATTATATTTTTGAACGAAAATAAAATTTTGAGATAAAAATAGATAATTTGATAATTAGTTCTCATTGTATTAATTTTGTTAATTTGATAATTAAAATATTTAATTCATATTATTTTGGTCCCTAAACAGACAATCCGTCAATTTTTTGATAGAAGTGACTACGTATCATTTTTTTAGACAGTATCACGTGCCTAACACATAATTATTTAGTCAAAAACTAAACGGTTCGTCTATGTAACCAAAATAACATGAATTGAATACTTTATAGATAAAATTGACAAAATTGATACATTGAAGACTAAACTGATAAAAATGTAAACTTTAGGATCAAATTTTTTTATTAAACCTTAATTTAATGACCACAATTTTATTAGGTCACAATAGCGTTACTTTATCTATCTTAACACTTCGGTTAAAAAAATATATATTTATCTCAACACTTCTTTTTCTTTTGCACCAATTTATAGTTTTTGAAATTATAGTTTGTCTGTTTTTATTGGTGTCACATTGTAAAAGGAATTTCTTTATTATATGAATAATGCTACTTAGATATAGTTTGAGAATATGATTCATTATAATCATCATATCAATAGTGAATTCCAAAACCAATTAAGAATTTCAATGGATCGAATTTGAATTAAATTTTATATAATCCAAATTCATTTAAAATATTTTGATCCCATTATTTGACATATATCTTAATATGTTAAGAATTGAATATTCATCCTGATTTAATCCGAATAATAAATTTGTATTTTAGCAAATTAAATTTAGTTTTTAATACATTGTCTCCAATTAATGACTAAGTTCATCATATGTTTATGTAAATAAAACTATACAATTCATATTGAATTACAACTGATGGTGTATTTCAACGTCATGCAATTTTGTAATGACGAGTAAATGAAAGAAACAATATTGAAATTATTGGGATCTGAGCTACTAGACTCGAGGGAATGATATTGAGAATTGTTGGGGAATTGAGAAATTAACACAGTAGAAATATAGTGGTTCACCAGCTCGGGAGCTCAGCTAAT